AAAAAACAAGGGGAAAAAAAGGGCTGGGGATATAGCTCAATGCAAAAGCTAGGTTCAATCCCCCACCAAAAGGAGAGCTGGCTTGGGTACAAAGTGAGCTCAAGGCCCGCACTTTCCTAGGACCGCATCTTAAAAAAAAAAAAAAAAAAAAAAAAAAAAAAAAGACTTAGAAAACTAAAATCCAGGGAGAAGGCAAGAGCAAAGATATTAAAAAATCGCAAAAGCGTATTTTAAAAGTTAAAATTTTCTTTACATAAAATTTGAGGAAAACTGTTATAGGTAAGAATAGCACAATAATTGTAAAATTACTCAAGAAAATATTTCAATAGCAAATTTTGATAGAACTACCCTTATTTTAAAACAGATGTCTTCTAGAACTTTTATGTACTGTTTTAAAAATTCATGTTAACACCTTATCTTCTGTCTATTTTCTGGGACTTTCACCTTGTCAATAAGGGTTTTGCCAACTATTCATAATTTCTACCTGTGAATGCTCTCAAAAACCTGAAATACCTTTACTTCAATATCCTTTACCACTGCATTGCCTTCTTCACCTAAGCTTAAATTGCCTTTCAGAAATTCTGCTCTAGTGTCCTTTTTCTTACAAAATCTTCCCTGCTGTCCTTTCTCTTTGCTTCCAAACTGCTATGACAACACTATTCACACTAGAATAACAAATATTTGTTTAACTACGCATTGCACCTCATCTGAGTTCTAGTCACATACCTAAAAAGTCTTATCATTTCGTGTCTGACAGTGGGTTAAAAAAAAATGTACACTAAATGAGTAAGTTATGGGGAAAAAAAGTTTGAGGTACTTATAGAATATCCAGATGGTAATAAACAGAGCCATGAGTATGAGCTCAGGAAGGAAGATATGGTTCACGATGTAGAAATGATAATTTTATTATAAATTTAGGATCACAGCTTTGGCAGATTAAAATAAAATTCATTTTCAAATAGTTTATGGATAGACTGACTAATGAGAAATACAAAATATTTTGTATCTTACTAAATATAATATGTACTTTTTAGCCCTCAATTTGATTTCTCAGCAGCATTCAAAATAGTTGACTGATCACTCTCACCTTTTTTGGTTACTGCTTTGGCTTTCCTAATACTGACAAAAATTTCCTCCAACTTTTGGCTACTCCGTTTCAGTATCCTTTGCTCCAATTCTTTTTTCCAATGTTAAAATGCATAAGATGCACGGTTTAGGCCTAAGTCTCTCCTTTTCTATCTTCTATTTTTCCCGTAGGTAATTTCTTCCTTTACTCCAAGGCATCAATTATAAACTTTACGCTATGACCAAATTTATGTACAGTCCCAATCTCTTTGTTGAGCCCCAAACATATATATCCAACTGCTACTATACCTCTCTACTTATCTCCCTCTCAGGTTTAACCTCTCACACCTTATGATTAATACGTCTTGTTCCTGACAATACCAAGCAAAACACCAGCTCCTCCCCATTCCTATCTTAGGTATAAGAATTACTGGCCCAGGAATTCAGCCTTCTCTTCATAGACTCCCAAATCCAACCCATCACCAAATTCTAGCAATTTTACCTCCCAAATATATGCCAATTCAAGCTACTTTATATCAATGCCATTAACCTGTATCTAAATAACTGCATTTCTGCACTGCTTCCAGTGGAACTCAAGCCCTTACGCATGCTAGCCTCTGATAGCCCGAGAACCTTAAATTACCCTTATAGCTGAAATCAATGCTATTCAAAGTGTGGTCCATGAATATTGATCCATACATAAACTTCTAGAAACTTTTACAGCAAACTAACACGTCAAAACATTCATTTTATTGTGCGTTACTAAAGCACCAGTACTAAGGGATTATTAAAACAGGGCTGGTCCTTCGCCTAAGTAAATGTGAGAAGCACTGACCTAAATGGTCACCCTGTACTGACACTTGCCTCTCCAGGGTGTTCTCCATAAAGGAGCCAAGCGATGCTTTCAAAGCAAAAATCTGAGTAAGCAAAAGTCTTACTCAGCTTTTTAACATTCTCTAATGGCTTTTTACTGCTCTTGAGATTAAATACAAAATGTTTAGCACGGATTTTGGTCATTGTGATCTGCTCCATTCTCATTTCCGATAAATTATCCCCATGTGTTAAGTTAATCCCTGTCTATATTCTAGAAAGTTCAAACTGTCAACATCACTTGGGTAACTAGCATCCGTTAGGTTTCAGCCTAAAAGCCGTTTCTTCAGAGAAGCATCCCTTGATGGACTAGTGCCCTCACATTACTTACAATAATCTTTCTTCATAGCAATCTCATATCTAATTACTATTCTTGCTGTTCTTTAGTTTCTCTGCTCCCCAACTGACTTTTGCCTCTATGAATACAACACCACCCCTCCTTTTTAAAAAATGTATACGTACATCCAGAGTCTAGCAAAGAGCATGGCGAAGATAAGTTGCTCAATAAACTTTTGCTAGTGCGCAAATCAAAGACACAAAACAGTGAGTAGGCCCAACAATATAAATGCCTTGATTATCTGACCATATATAAGGCTTGGGATAAAAATGGGTATCAAGTGCTTTACAAAAATTAAATAGGTTGTTAAACAACCTAAAAAGGCAAGAAAACTCCACTGTCAAAATCAATTTTTAATGAGAAAGATTTTCAGAAAGATGAAGCATCTTATCTAAATTAACCAATAACAAAGTGACAAACCTGAGTTAACAAGGGGTAACACACTCTAGATCTATGTTGCCTGGCTGCACTGCTTACTGAACTGTACAATTCTGTGGAAGTTAAATAATCTACTTCTTAGTTCCTCATTTGTAAAATAGGAATAACAATAAAGCCTTCTTTAAAGGATCATTATGTGTTTAAGTGAGTTAATATAGAAATACTCTTGAAACAATGCTTGGTACAATGTTCTGAGTCAGTGCTTATTATCTCACATTTTATCTGCTTACCTGTTTAATGTCTGCCCATGCCATAGTAGAATATAAATTTAAAAAACACAGAGGTTGCATCATTATTATTATTATTCTCTGAAAGAGCTTTTTCCAACCAGGACTATAAAAACTGATTTGGGTTCTATTCATTCAGTTGTCTAACAATGGTACATCATTAAAGGTGCAGAGGCAGTGAAGTAATTCATTACCAACCTCTAACAACCTACAGCAGTGATGGTGAATCTTTTCGACCTTTCAGTGATACGAACAGCACACATGCCATAGGTCTGCCACCACTGACTGAGCATATCGGAGCTTGATTTTCACTGAGAACATACTAGAGAAGAGACACTCTCATGTATTCCCCAGTGTCTGGCAAGCAGCAGGTGCTCCTCAAGTATTTTTAAAAAGAATGAGTACTTACAAAACCAAAAAAATAATGCTAAGCACAGAGTAGATGCTACATGTCAATTTTAGTCTGTATCTACAATGTTTCTTTAGGAGGAGCTTAAGAGAATTTTATTGGAAATAAAAACAGCTCCTGTATTTTCAGGAGGGGTTCCAAGTGGGTGGCCCAAACCCTAAAAAGTTTCTGTAAACTTTAACTCAGATCCTAGGAAAGTCATTTTTTTCAAGTTGTACTGCCTATACTTTTCATAGTTAAAAGTACAAAATGCACACTCTAGAAAACCATGTAACAAGGAAACCAGTGTCGGCAGGAACTGTGTGGAAGTAGTAAGAGGTGGAGAAGGGGTAGAATCTGGATACACAGAGGAGAGCAAAGGAGATTCTAGGCCAATGAACAGCCTCTGCAAACGCAGCATCACCGAAGTATGGAGCACAGCACAAAAGTTAGGTGACATTTTGATAGTTATGTGTGCATATATATGTGTATGTTATATATGTGTTTTATGTATTATATATTCTCATGTAAATAGGACGGCAAATAGGGAATTCAAATTTTTACTATTCAAACAGTAAAATAAGTAATATCTACTTAGAGTTTAAATGAATCATAAAAATATATCAATAGTGCAAGAGAGGTAAGCACATAAGGCATAAACTGTTAGCGGTTTTTTGTTTGCTTGTTTGTTTTTCCGGTTCCAGGAATCGAACTCACGACCTCCTGCTTGCCAGGCAAGCGCTGTGCCCTTGAGTTAAATCCCCAGCCCCTTGTTAGCATTTTTTAAACGTGAGTAAAATGTGGTAAATGCCAAGCAAAGTCACGAGAGTATGACTGAACGTAACAGGTTAAATGACAAAATGCTACCATTCCTCTATGTGAAGACAGAGCTCTACCTCCTCTTTCAGGATAAAGTCATATGGATATTAAGAATACCCTTCTAGCTTCGACTATTTAACTTGCAGTACTAAAATTGTTATGTGTAAAATTTTCACTTTTCATTAGGATGAATCTGCTAAATATTTCAACTCCACTTATTCCCAGAAAGAAAAGTTTTAGAAATGTGAAATAAGAAATGAACTATCGGTAGCTTGGTAATTTACTTGAAAATAGAATGCAAAACCCTGTATTTTGAAATTGTAAGAAATTAATTTATATAACAAAACACAAATTATAACTACAACATAAGGGTATTAAATTAAGAAAAGTACAAGAAAACAGCTTTCCATTCTCACTTTCCTCTCGCTCTCTCTGAATTAACCTACCAATAGTTAAAACAAGTAAAACTATGTGATGATAAAGATAACATTTATCAAGTGCCTGCCATGTGCCAGGCACTGTTCTAAGTGTTTGACCTGCATTAACTTGTGCAATCACTACCGCCCTTACAGCTGTGAGAATATTAAATCGCAGAGGGGTTAAATAACTTGCCCAAACCAAAACAGGTAGGTGGCAGGCCCCGGCAATTCCACAAGTCTGAGCTCCTAAGCACTTCTGTCAATGATGGGATAATAAGTTGAAATATTCCTTCAGCCCCATTATAACGAAAGAGATGCAATTTTCTACGACATAAAACATTTTACGGCTTCAGGAACCAGCTGAAGAAACAGTGCACTCAACTAGAAAGAAGAAGTGGGCAGAAGAGTATCACAACAGAGCAAACTAGGCCCGGAATTATCCAGTACAGTATAGACAACACAATGATGACTGAGTGCGATTCACTTTCTACTTCTGTTTCACGGTCATGGAAGAATAAGCGAAAAGTTAGACGCAGCAGAAAATGAATCTCATTTCTACTGGGCCCTGTGACTGCTCTGCGGAAATTCTATTATCGCTTTCCTTTAGGCGAGTCAGTACACACGTACACGGACTGAAGAGTAACTTGGAAAAAGGGTGGTAGCATGAGATAAACAACAGAAGGTCAAGATTTGGGTGTTGAAGGCTTGGACCCGAACGCGGTGCTGGCCGGAGGCTCCCAGGTACACGCGAGAACTCAGGAGAGGCTTAGAGACAGGACCCGACTCCGGGGTGAGACGGGGTCCGCGGTGCTGAGGACTCGCCCGACGCGCGCCGACGCGGGTGCTGGGTGCCAGCGTCCGCGCCCGGGATGCAGAGGTCGGGGCGCGCGCCGGGGCGCCGAGGGGGCGCTCCCTCGCTCTGGGCAGCGTGCACGGGCCGGCAGGAGGAAGCGCGGAAAGCGACAGGCGGGATGCCCAGGTGCGAGCGGGGCGACCAGCCGAGGAAGAGGGCGAGACCGCGGAGAAAACTAAGGGGGGCGCAGGCAGGCGGAGGCTGGCAGTCGCGGAGCGGCGGGGACCGGGGCGGGCGGCGGTGCGGGGTGCGGG